TAAATGTAATTTTATTAATACAAATAATGCTTAATATAAGTTATTAAATGTCTGATAATGATATTTTGCCTGATAAACGATTTATTATAGTCACTGTTAATTATAAAAAATTACGGGATACCGGATAATTCAAAGGTCCAAACATTCATAAACAGCAAGTGAAATTGTTTTTTCTGGTCATTTCTTTATTTAGCAATGTATCAATTGATTAAACATTTCATTTTTGGTTGGCATTTTTACCTGCAAGAAAGGTTGATTCTTTTATTGGACACTTTTTTTTTTTTTTTTTGATAATTAACTATTAAGGTTTCCATTTTGGTAAGGTAAATTTGTATTACCACATAATAATGTTCAGATCACCAAGGTGATAATTCGCGTTTTTCGTAGTGTTACATTTAATATTGTTTGCCATAACGAACATATCGTTAGGATAACAAATCGATTTTCGATTTTCGATTTTCGATTCATCGATTGATTCATTAAGTTAGATGCTTGAGAACAAAAAAATATTAAATTAAAAAATAAAAATTAATATTAGTACCCACGGTTATATAAAAAAAAAAAAAATTTTTTTAAAAATTCGCGGGTAATTAAATTAAATCCAAATTAAAGTTCAAAATTAAAATAATTAATTAAAAAAATTGCGAGGTATTAAAATTAAATTAAACTTTAAAAAAACTTTACAGAACTTGGATTTCTTAATACGCAGTAACTGCAAAGTGACTATATAGTAAAGATATGGTTACTACCTTACTTAGTAGTAACTTAATCGCAGCCTAATAGGTACAATGCACTTACTGCATAGTAAGGAAAAAGTTTCTGTAAAGAAAAATCAAAAATCGCGGGAATTAATAAAAATTAAAAAAAATCAATTAAAAAAAATCAAATTTAAAATTAAAATCTTTAAAATAAAAATATTCAATAAATTAGAACATTAAACAAAAAAATTGCGAATATTAAAAATTAAAAATATCGCGGAGGGTAGAATTAAAAAATTCAATAAAAAATTAATAAAAAAACAAAATTAAATCTAAAAAATAAAAACAATAAATTAAATTAAATTAAAAAAATATAAACAATTAAAAAAAAAATTAAAAATTTAATTAAATAAATTACATCAACTACGAGTTGATGTTAGAATTAGGATTAGGATTATTTATAAAAAAATTCAATAAATTGTATTATTTATTTGTTATAGATATGCTAAAACTAAGTTTACAACATCCATTTCACATCGTTTAGCAACCGTTAGTTTAATGATAATAATTTATCGCGAAATCAATTTTTTTTTAATAATACTATTTACAATAATTTGTTTATTTAAATTTTGGACATGCCAAAAATAGATTCGATTTCGATTTATTAGAATCTTTACGTTAGAGTGACATGAAGTTAGGGTTCTACCTAATTAAAATTTAATATATATATATACTGGGATTTGAGGTATTTAAAGAAGAGTGTTATGTACAAATAATATAATTTTCTCACTTCGCCTTCCTTTAAATTGCATATATGCAACTTAATCATTACCCTTTCTCCCTTACGATATTATAGCCTTCTCAATTTTAAATTCATAATTTTTCTATTGTAACGTTGTAACTTCGTAATTTCGTTATTTTAATTTCTTTGTTATTATTTTTTATTCCGATTATATTTTATGTAGTTTAATTAATATTTAATAACTAATTAATTAAATAAATTTAGCGTCATAATTATTACTTCAATATTCTTTAATTAAATCCTTCTGCTTACAAATACAAATTGGTTATAAATACATAAACGAAAGAACTGAACACAACAGTAGGTACAGTATAACAAACAAAGAGCGAATCGATCATTAATATTTATATGACGCGGATTAGATAAAAACCAATGTTAGCGATTCCTCTCTGCATAAATCATTAACCCTGAAACTAGAATTCTATCAACCAAAGAAATTTGTGGCTTGTTTATTGTAACTAACATTGAAACACAAACGAATTAACATTTATTCTTCTTGCTGCGCCATATTCCTCTAAATCGCGGCGATGAACGAAATTTACGCAAAAATGATGAAAAAAAACTTTTCATCGGATAATGGAAAAGAAGTAGGCTAAAGGTGGTAGGTTAAGGGCGGTTCAAAATTAGGATCATTTTCACAATTTTCCTTATACCATCGTTTTGAAATCATTGTAATTTGAAACCTGGCCTTGGGAGTGCACGTCATAACTCGGAAATAATGCTTACAAACCAATCCATAATGAATACCATTTAAACAAGTGCACCAATGATATCCATCATTCATCAATAAAATGAAATTTCTATCATGTTGATCATAAACTGACCACGTCTCAAGAATTTCATTTGTATTAATCATTGAAAATATTTTACTAAGTGGTAGGTAGTAATCATTTACCACAAAATAACGCTTTGCTACAAAAATTTTCTCAATGTTTTTGATCAGACCAATATCATACTTTTTGGCAATAAAATTGAGAGAAAGTTCCATTTCATGAAGTTGTAAGTTAACACAAACAGCGGACAAGTATCTTTCAATCTGCATATTAACCAATTCATATAAAGTCATTGTTCGAGGATCATTTGTTTTAAAAATTGCTTGTCTGATTATTTCCTGATCATGTTTTTCATATATCTGCCTACAATGGTCTTCAAGTTGATTATTTATATGATCAATCAAATCGAATATGGGAATTTGTAAGTTCGCTAATGTCGTACTTATTACACTATTGATCACTTCAACATGAAAAATGGAATCCAGATTTGCCGTAAAAGTTTCAACGACAAAAGCCTTTGCCCAATAATTTCTGTTTTCATATAATGTATTGGTTAAATAATCAACAATTTCTGGATAATCCTTCATTAAACATTGCCAACCTTGTAGAAATATTTCTTCCTGTAAAGAATTTTGACACTTGAAAAAATCCTCGAGGAATTTCTCATGCTTTGAACCAAGTTTTTTATTTACATGATGGTATGAATTTGAATAAAGTAAGTGCCATATAGAATATCGATGTATGCAATTACGATATACACTTTTAACAGCAACATCCATGGCGCGTTCTGTATCAGTGATAATCGTTTTTGGTTCTTCCTCAGAAGCAGCTAATGTGCATCTCAATATCCATTCATAATTTTCTGCAGTTTCATCATCTGTTAACGCTTGAGCAACGATTCGTATACATCCATTTAGATCCATGGCGAAGAAAAGAGATAACATCATATCATCACGATTTGTTTTGTGCTGGTTGTCATTTAAAATGACATCATTAAATCGTTTCCAATCCTCCACCTGATTCGGCGTCATCCAAAAAAGTCTATTTAGGGTGGCGGTGCCAGGTTCAAAATCGTAATATACTTTCCACCCCGAATCGTCTTTTTGTTTTATTAGATGATTGAAGACCTTGATGACGTCAAGAACTTCTCGAGATGTTTTAAATCGTCCGATTACATTAGATAAATCTTGATTAGATAGTAAATGACCTGGATATTTTGCACGTAAGTACTTTCGTTGTATAACTGCTCCAACTTTACAATGTTTAGTTAAAATTTCAACATCTTGTATGACTTGCACCGTGAAATCCTTAGGGTGCAATTCATGATTATGATGATCCACAAACTTTGTAACGATGATTAATTTTTCCACATTATTTTTTTCTGGTAAAGATAAATTTACATGCCAGGGACATAAAATCTTTTTTGAATCGGGTTGTTTATCCTCCTTATTTTTTTGAGGTTTCCCTGAACGTTCACAAATGAATGTCCTTTTACGTAACTCCCCACCACATTCCTTTTTTCTAGATTTACATAAATTGAATCCCAAGATTTTGGCGTGATTATATACGACATCAGACGCCTCATCCCAATTCCTAAAAGTGGAACCTTCCTTTAAAATCTCACGTACGGTATCCTCCGTACTTTGAGAATTGGTTTCGGATTCCATGATTTGATCATCATCCGTTAGAAATTCATTACTATAATTGTTCATTATTAATGTTGATTATTAAAAAAAAAAAAAAATAATATAAATAGCCTATTTTAAAATTCTAAAAATAAAAAAAATTACAATTTTTTTTCTATTTAGTCTTTTTTTTTTTAACAAGTTGAGAAATAAACGTTGTGTGGAAAAAAAAAAAGAAAAAAAGAAGAATTCTATTTTATTTTTTTTTTTTGATCTGCCGTTCTTTTCGGCTTTTGCATTTAAAAAATCATAAACGCTTACGCACTACCCAACTGAAAAGGCAATAACAAAAAGATAATGATATTGTAGTCACAATGACTTTCAATAAAGTTAACATCAGCCTTTTTGTGTAAAGGGGTTTTGGTTGAACAATGACAGTATGAATCATGTGTAATTTGTGTAACTTGAGGTTACATTTACATGATATAATAATTGGTCTGTCCTAATGAGGTAAAATGTGAAAGAAAAGATTCTTATTTGTGATACAAAAAGATATTAAAAAAGATTAGTAATGATAAATGTTATATAATATGAGGGATGCAAAGCTCTGAAGGGTGCAAAGCTTTGCACACTTTTGATTATATGATATATAAATGGGATTTAAAAAACCGTGTATAAAGATTTTTAAATGATAAATTCGTTTATTCAACTTTTATTTTATTAAAACCATAACACCGATATGTCACGTGAATTCCCCAACGTTTTAGAATATAGATTTTTTCATCAAACGCCAAGTGATGATAAATTTTATTTCATAATTTGTAAAATGATTTTACCGGATACCATCATCTCGGACGATAATGATCATCACTTTTTCTACCAATGTTTTGAAACAAATTATTATGTTACCTGTAAATTATATCCATCTTCTTTAATCATAAGTATATTGAACAAGGAGTTGTATGGAATTAATATTGATTTAAATAATTTAAAAGATTTCATAGGCAACAAGTCGTCAATTTCTCTAACTCAAAAGTTATATCTTGAAAATAATCTGAGGAACATCCTTCCTTTACATCTTTCAAAACATCCGATCCCTGATGATGAATTGAGATTAAATTCTGATGGAAATGTGAATCAAATTTTTGATGAATATGAGGACGTTTCTGAAGATGATGATCCTTTGAGTCCACAACAACAAATTGATTTCGATTTCGATCACATTCAACAATATTATAATAGAATGATGACACAAGATGTTAATCTAAATTGTAATGACGATGGTTTGTCAAGCAAAGATCATGTTCAACAACAACAACAACAACAACAATAAGTCGAAGGTTATAACGCACGACAAGTCGAACTTGATAATTTTCAAAATTTTGACCTTTTTTGCTACAAGGTGATTTTTAGATATTAGTTAATCGATTAATCTTAACTCCGGTCGAAATAAAGATTTCGGTCGGGGTCAAGATTTTAAACGTTACGTAGCCGAGTAAAAAAAATCGATTAAGTGATCGCGATTAGATAAAAAGATTAGTAATCGATCAAAAAGACGATTATTATTTTCTGGAATTGGTTACGTACGTATAATGACATACTTTATAAATATATAAATATAAATAAATTTTGTATTAAATACCCTTCAATATAATAAATAATTTATTATATATCTATTTAACAAGATATATAATAAAAATTGAAATTGAAACACACTCATGCTATTTAATAATTGGGAATAACAATATTAAAATTATTAAAAAGAATTAATGCTAAAAATTTTAATTTAAATAAATAGTGTATATTTAATTCGAGGGGTTTTTTTTTTATTACTTTTGTATCATAATAGAATTATTATTAATAAGACTGTAAATAAAATAACTTCATCGTAGAGAAAAGAAGTGGAAGTTACGGCTGTTTTCATAATATATATTATGAAACAATTATACAGTAAATTTAAATTTGGAGACTTGTAATAATGGTTCCGAGAACGGAAATTGCATGAAAATATTAGTAATTTTATTCAAATTCTTTAACTTAATCATTATCACATATGAGTTTAAGTTAACATTAATTTAAACATGTAAATATTAATAAATACTATAGAAAATTGTATTTGTGATGAAAAATCATATTCATCGACATGAAATTTAAATAATATATTTACAGTGACTTTCATAAATATTGTACTGTAATTTTTAGATTGTAATAAATAAAAATTCGAACGATTTGCAGATTTAATTAATGTATCGTCCGAGTGTCCTTTTATAATATATTCAAATTTAAATTTCTTTTTATTTATAATTTTAAAAAAAAATTCTTTTATAACCATAAATTTTA